GTGTGTGTGTGTGTGTGTGCATGCATGTGTGCACACACGTGTGGTGTGGTGTCTATATGTGTAATGATCATGAGTTCCATTAAGAAGAATTTTTAGGAAAATTAAGTTGACAGTGGGTGTGCTGAACAGAGGTAGACTGAATGTAGGAACAGTAACAAACTTCTGCAACTATTCTGGCAAGAGATAATGAGAACTTTGGTGGAACAATGCAGAAAGAAAGGAAGGACTCCTCTTGGGAAAAAACCACAGCTAAAACATAGAAAGGGATACAAGCAATAGACTGGGTGGGCCAAAGAAGAGTCCAAGGCAATGAAGGGGCTTGCAGCCTGGGTGGCACTAACTCATATAGAACATCAGCACACAGCACGGGATGGGGCCGGGGAGAAATGGAGGTGAGCAGAGACTGAAACTGGGGTGCTGAAGATAGCCAAGTGGATGTATCAGGGAACGTTCTGATATGGGGAAATGGGACTCTGAAGGACAGACAAAATATATATGAAAAAAGTGAGTGAGAAACAAATACCATGACAAAAATTATGGCGACCGTGCCAAAACCTTGGGAAATGTCTACTTTTAAGATTTATTTTACAGAATGAGAGCTCACACACAGGGGCCAAGTGTACAGGGGTGGGGAGGCCAGAGGGAGAAGGACAGGAAGTCTTAAGCAGACTCTGTGCTGAGTGAGGAGCCCGACTCAGGGCTGGATCTCATGACCCTGAGATCACGACCTGAGGCGAAACCAAGAGAGTCCTACAACTGACCAATTGCACCACCCAGGTGCCCTGGGAAATGTCTACTTTTAGAGAAGTGAGCAGTTTTGCCCTCTGGGAACATTTGGCAATGAATGGAGAAACTTCCAGTGGTTACAGCCGGGGTGGGGAGGGTGCTACCGGCATCTAGTGGGTAGAGGCCAGAGATGCTGCTAAACATCCTCTAATGCACAGAGCAGCCTCCGACAACAAAGAATTACCTGGCACAAAACATCCACAGTATCAAGGCTGAGAAATCACATTTTAGAGAATCACATGAGAAAAAACAGAAACAAAGAATAAACATTTCTTATGTTTTAATATGCATTAATTACATTTAAAAAATATGAATGAGAAAAAAAAGAATGATGCTATTTCATACTTCAAGGAGCATGGCTATAACTGGTCTACAGAGTGCTCAGTGGGTGAAATCAGACACCATCTATTTCTATAAAGGTTTAGCATTAAATTGATTTATTTTTTATTTATTTATTTTTAAGATTTTATTTATTTGAGAGAGCGTGCACGCAAACACAAGTACGGGAAGCAGGCAGAGGGAAAGGGAGAAGCAGACTCCCCAGTGAGCAGGGAGCCCAATACAGGGCTCCATCCCAGGTCCCCGAGATTATGACCTGAGCCAAAGACAGATGCTTAACCAACTGAGCCACCCAGGCGCCCCTTGATTTTTTTTTTTTTTTTTTAAACTTCATCTGCTGGGGCGCCTGAGTGGCTCAGTCAGTTAAGCGTCTGACTCTTGATTAGGACTCAGGCCATGACCTCAGGGTCATGAGATCAAGCCCTGCATCTGGCCCGACGCTCAACAGGAAGTCCTGCTTGGGATTCTCTCTCCCCCTGCCTCTATTCCTCCCCAATCATGTGTGCACAAGCCCTCTCTCTAATAAATAAAATCTTTTAAGAAATTAAAATAAATAAAAACTTTGACTGCGTATGCTCAGAGTGTAAGTACTATTTGCAGTAGTCACACGAACTTCCTGTATCGAATGCCTAGGATTCTAGAAATGCTATTCAACATGTATTAATGTTTTTGTTTTTTTTTTAAAGACTTTATTTATTTGTCAAAGAGAGAGAACACAAGCAGGGGGAGCAGAAGGGAGAGGGAGAAGCAGGCTCCCTGCTGAGCAAGGAGCCCGATGTGGGACTCGATCCAAAGACCCTGGGATCATGACCTGAGCC